TCGTGCACCAGGACAGGCTGTGTCCCTCAGTCACAAAAACAAGGAGAGGAGAATGGAAACAAAAGAGAAGCTGCTTTGAACTTTATTCCTGAAAATTCCAAATAGTGAGTCATAATTAAACGACTGGAACCTTTCCTGGGAGAATGCCATGAGGCCACAAGGTGCTCCAGTGTAGAAATCTGAATTCTCAAACCTGGGCTGTTTCAAGCCAGGACACTGTGTCGCTGCTGTTGTGACCGCCCTTTAATTCAGTGCCTCGAATACCCTTAAGGTGTAGGTCCTGACCATGGATGTTGGAGGTGCTTGTTGGGCGCTGCCTTCCTTGTTCCTGCTCTCACCCTCACCCTTGCTCTGACCTTTTTCTCTCCATTTAACCAGCCTTAATTTACTTCTTAGCCGGTCTTAGTGGCTCAGTCTGTAATCCCGTGCTTTGGGAGGCCGAGGTGAGTGAATTGCCTGAGCCTGCGGATTCGCAACCCGCCTGGGCAACTTGGCAAGACCTCATCTCTACAATAAATCAAAAAAATTAGCCAGGCGTGGTAGCGCTCGCCTGTAGTTCCAGCTACTTGGAAGGTTGAGGAGGAAGGATCTCTGGGGCCCAGCAGGTCGAGGCTGTGGTGGCTGGGAGCGTGCTACTGCATGCCAGTCTGGGCGACAGAGTGAGACTCCAAGTCAAAAAAAAAAATTTACTTCTTGTTGGTCATATGTTTAATGGACTGTCAGGATTTTTAACATAGTGGGAAAAAGTATGACTCTTGAGGTTAGAAAGACTCCCTCACTGTGTGGCTTTGCTCAAGTTGCTTAACTTCTCTGTGCCTCACTTTGGTCATCTGTAGAATGGGGATCATATATCATTTATTGAGCTGGTTTGGGATTTAAATCAGAAAAGGAATATCCTTACTTCTTGGCTGATTTGAAACAGAGTGTTTATTTCCAACTCTGAATTTTTAAAAGAGTCTTAATTCACAAATCTGGGAGGCACTGGGCTTTCATTCCACAAACACTGAATGCTACTCTGTGCATAGCACCGTGCTGGGCATTGGGGACAGATGTCTGAATGGTGTGGTTCTTGTCCTCCAGGCAGGTGAGTAAATACTCAACTAGGGCCAGGCTGTGTGGCTCAGCCTGTAATCCCAGCACTTTGGAAGGCTGAGGTGAGTGGATTACCTGAGCCTGCAGGTTCAAGGCCAGCCCCGGCAACTTGGTGAGACCCCATTTCTACAATAAATAAAAAATTAGCCGGGCGTGGTAGTACACACCTGTAGCTGATAGGGAGGTCAGGGGATACTGTCAGGACCAGACGGTCAAGACGCTGACTGAGCTGAGCATGGTGGCTCATGCTTGTAATCCCAGCACTTTGGGAGGCTGAGGTGGGAGGACTGCTTGAGCCCAGGAATTCAAGACTGGCCTGGTTAACATAGAGAGAGCTCATCTCTACATCTACAAAAATATAAAAAAGTTAGCTGGGCATGGTGGTGCACCTGTAGTCCCAGCTACTTGGGAGGCTGAGGTGGAAGGATCGCCTTAGCCGAGGAGGTTGAGCCTGTGGTGAGCCGTAAGTGTGCTACTGCACTCCAGCCTTGGCAACAGAGTGAGACTCCAACTAAAAAAAAAAAGAAAAAACAAAAGACCTCGAGTGGCCTGCTAAGGAGTGTGTGTGGACCTTATGGGAAGGGTCCTAGGACGGACCTAGACACATGAGCTCCAGATTTTAAGGTCCATAATGTTTGTGAAGAAAAGGAGTGACTGAGATCTCTTCACAGATGAAAAAATCGGGACAAGAAGGAGGTGCTACTAGAGAAAATTCACCAAGCTCTGTGTCTTCCAAGCAGCTACTGCGGACAGCATACAGCATCATGAGTCAAACACACAAAAAAGTTGAAGGGTAAAGAGAGGAGAAAACAACCCAAGTTAGCACCTCTGCCTGTCAGGTCTAATGTTTAAGGTTATCTCACTGTAGACGGCCCCTATGTGCGAGGTGTGGGGGATAGACAGTGTACCCCTCACCCCAGGCTAGTGTCTGCAGGCAAGCACAATGAAGATCCTACCAGGAGTTAAATCAGAACATCATGAGGGCTAGGGAAAGCTTCCGTGGCCTGTGGTTTCAGTGATCTGACAAACTCCTAGAGAAATTGTTTTGTGGAAAGGGATGGTGGGTGAAGGGAGAAGGGAGGAAGTCCCCCACTCTTCGCTCCCTCCACGGGCGGCTGTCCTCAGCTCCATCATGCCAGGGGCCGTGGGGCTGGGGGCAGGGGCTGGTTACCAGGGCGACCAGGAGTGTGCTGGTGCCAGCCCAGCTGTGACCCACATCTTCGCTCTCAGACTTGCTGGGCTCTCGTCAAGAATGCAAACCATCTGCCGTCCTAACACCTTCTCTCCCTGTTTTGGTTCGCTCTGAGGTCTGGCTAGCTTGTACGGTTTTCCCAGAAAATATTTAGTAAGGAGCTTGTTTCTTCTGGGAACCTTTTCTTCTGCACAGACATTTCTTTTCCGAATCCCCCCGCCTCCAATCCATAGAGCTCACGTAACAAGCATCACTTGTAAACAAGGAGAAGAATGTGGAGATGCCATTTTAAAATCCATCCATTTGGGCTGCTTCAGTCTGTTCGTTAGCCTACTTCTTATTTGCAGCCACAAAGGGAAACATGAAGGAACGCCAGCACCGTCACATTTTACACACGCCATAGAAATGATTTATGTTCTGTGCACGTTTATAGGGTTTACATTGTGTGTGCTTATTGCTGGTAATAATAATTTTAAATAAGTGATACATATTGAATGCTCTGGCACTTTTCTGTGCACATTTTTCATACTATTCCTCAATCCTCTCAAGAACCCAAGGAAATAGATCCTGTTACCTACCATTCCTCCTCCACTGGAGGAAAATGGGGCACAGAGAGACCAGGTCCTCTGGGAAGGTCACCCAGGCCTGGTGGTGGGGCCTGGTTACCTACATATGTTGTGGGTATCAACAGTATCAAATTATGTTTACATTATTACGCTGTATATCTCTTATAGTTCCCTTGCGCTATCTTTTAAAATCCAACGTGGCAGCCGGGCTCGGTGACTCAGCCTGTAATCCTGCGCCTTTGGGAGGCTGAGGTGAGTGGATCGCCTGAGCCCATGGGTTCGAGACCCGCCTG